ATATTAAGAACAAATGGAGCCGGTGTGTCCTATTACTAGAAATACTACGGGAGAGTAATATTTTCGGCTTCGACGAATAGTCTAAATCCATATAAAACCGACCACCATTTACATCGACCTTTGCCGTCAGTGACGAGACCTACCTCATATTATAGAGCTCAGCAGGCTGAACCGAATGGTGAAGACCGAAGTCTCTAGCCTTGCTAGAAGCAGAGAGAGCTATAGCCATTTTACCCGCGCAGCAGAAAAATGCATTTTCGTCATTTTCCGGCGGATTTGGTCTAACTTGCAGAACGTCTGCTGACCACACTCCCTAACGTAGAACCCCGAAGTTGGTATCAAATGAAAGAGCGCGTCGAGTTCTATATATTTCGATGGAGAAAAGTTATGCTGCACCTCGGAGTCTTGAGATAGAGATTGCGGAAAAATCCGATTTTCTAGAAAACCTAGTGATGTCAAAGTTTCTCTCAGAAGCTTGAATGATATGTACTGAATAGTAAATGCTACAAAACAATGATGATTCCACCCACATGAAGAAACTTTTCCGTAGCTTTGTCGACTTGAGTAGACGATAACCCTGATCGAGTTCCATGAACTGAACACTTTACTAACAAGTTTTTTGTAGAGCATTCTGTAGTTTCTGGTTAGAATGTTTTCAAATATGTTAATAAGAGTTCAGAGAAGTCGTATTGAAATGTGTGAATCGATTTTCTTTTATTGCGGTAATGTTTTCTCCCCTAGCTTAGGCTTGAATGTCAAATAAAAAGCTTATTCTCGTAATTCGTATGCCAGCATTCTATCAAGCCACACAGAGTTGACTGGTATAGATGCAGTTGAAGGAGAAGGAAAATGGGTGCGTTAGTCGATGATAGTTAGATATAAGTAAGTCAAAATTATGGTTATCTCTTCACTCACGCACTTCGACACCCCTCGAAGGATCTTTTTGTATTGCTTAATCGTATAGAACGAAGTCGTGCCGTGCCCATCTATTTCTTTGGATACGCCTCTACTTTTGTGTTTGAAACGTTATTTTCTTAAATTTGTTTTATTCGTGGAGGTCTTTGGATAGGCATTTACAATATCGCAAAAGTTAATTTAATTGAACATTTTCGATGAAATGTTGAAATCCTTGAATACTTTCGTGAATAACAGAAGAAAGCTCAGATTCCAGCATATGTCAGATACCTACTTGGATGCTTCTAGAATATGAGTATACTGGTATTTTCAGGTTTTGTTCATTAATAAAACGCAGACTGATTCTTTTGTCTCCGAACTGAACGAAAATTAAAATAAAATTACGACTCAGAAATTTCAAGCCAAGTCGAAATAAGAAATCAATTTAAATTGCAGAGATGAAAACTCATGTTAGCAGTATAACTATTGAAAATGTAAAAAAATTGAAGAGACTCATAACTCCAAAACTCTTCAGAAAAAAGAAAAAATGTCTGAAAAATCTCGAGACTGATGAATAATTCGGAAGTTCTCTATTGTCATAATATAAGGAGAGTCACAAACCTACACATTTAACATGAAACAGACATAGGTTTTCAAATATATTTCCATGCTTGCTTCTACACTAATTCTAAATGGGTTCTATATATATTCAATGAAAACGGCTATATCAAACAGAAAGATACTTTTCTCTGTGCCTTACTAATTTGAAAAATTATTTACCTGAATAATAAACTCTTCCAATAAACAGTGTTCATGAAAAATACATTCGTTTATTCTATGTGTAGTAGTAGTAGTATATTGCTTTATTCATATCAGAAAAAAAGAGTGGTACAAGAAAAAATACAAATTTACAGCTCCACTTTTACATTGACTATAGACGAACTTCGTCCCTGTAGTCTAAACATGAAAAACATGAAAAAGAAAACCACATAGAAAAAACCGTGTAAGAACATATCACAATGATCACACCATTATATACATATCATAACACATAGAAAGTAGTAAGGTAATAAAGGCGAAAATAAATAAAACGAAAAAAAAAAAAACACAGTAACAATAGAGCTTCGTTTAGTAACCGAAGACAAAATCAAATAGGGATGGTCTTTGAACTTCCAGGAGTTTTTTAACGTTTTTACCAGTTCTACCTCTGTTACAAATTTGACGCTTTTCTTTTAGTAACTGCGGGTTATCATAGTACTCACGCAAAAATAATAGATACAATTTATGTTGAATATAGTCACATATCACACTAGGATTCGTAGCAAGTAAGGCAGAGAGTAGCTTTGTCCAGTGTATATGTGTTAACGCTTCTATAGATTTATAGCTTGGCAAACTCTCTATTTCAACGTTTTTGGCGTCAAACCAGCCAAGAGTAGCTCTAAACATTTGACGATTTAATGCCTCGAGCTCCTGTTGTTTACTTAACGCGAGAATAGGGTACACATTTAATAGGGACTGAAAATGTGGACGAATAAACGCAAAAAATAAGCGATACGCTATCGGCTCACTTAACATACGACTAGCAGATAGACATTTAAGTGGAGAAGCGTTTGTACGAATTTTCTTCTTGATATAATCAAGATGGGAAGAGAACGACAATTTTGCGTCAAAGATAGTGCCTAAACACTTGAATTTGGAAACATGTTCCACGATATGGTTATCACACATAACAACAGGAATTAAAGGAGCGACCTGACGATGAAAGAGTGTCCAAAAAGTTTTTTGAAAATTAATGGGTTGCTTCCATGTCACAGAATAGGAAAGAAGACTTTCAAGTATATGCGTAATATGCTCGCTAAGATTTAGAATGAGCACCTTCGAGGGCCAATGTACTGATGAAGAGACAACCACAGTTAAGTCATCAGCAAAAAGATGCTTCCAATGAAGATTAGAAATTGAGTTTAACAAATCAAAATGAAATACGATGAATAACACCGGACCTATACACGAACCTTGCGGGACGCCCTTAAAAAGATAAAAAATAGCTGATTTGACATCCTTGATTTCGATATAGGCTGTCCGTCCTGACAGATATTTACGTAGCCAAGCAATCATGTATAAAGGACACCCCAAACGTTCAAGCTTCAGCCACAGCCCCTTATACCAGAGTTGGTTGAAAGCGGTTTTAAAATCAACAAATAACGCTGCCGCAGCTGTATTCAGAGTTAGACTTTGACCAATTTGGTCAATAATAGCGACAAGACGGATGGCGATATTGTGACCAGGGCGGAAACCAGTTTGTTCATCGGGAAGAATCCCAAAGTCATGCACCCACTGGCGAAAATGAACAAGGAAAATTTTTTCATATAGTTTAGAAAAACATGGAAGCAAAGAGATTGGACGAGTATCGTTGACATTTACAACATTAGTTTTTGTTTTAGACAATAAGATAATTCGTGCTGTTAACCAATGAGTAGGAAAAATTAGATGAGAGGCGAAAAAATTAAAAGACAGGAAGATAAGTGGAAGATGAGATTGAGGTAACAATTTAATCATTCTGTTAGACACCCCATCTGAACCAGATGAATTTTTATTTCTAACTGACGAAATTGCTCTTCTAATGTGTTTCACAGTGATAGGAAAACTATTTGGGGGATGATTTTGAATTTCGTACTCCAATTTCTGATCCACAATGTCTGCTTCCACTTCCACTGCCGAAGAAGTGACTATATGAGTAGAAAATTGCTCTTCATAGAAATTTTTTGCTAACTCACACATCTCCTTAGACGAAGCGATAACCCTATTATCCGATAAGAAGCCTTGAATAGGTGGTGACGAGGTGGAAAAATGCCGTTTCATTTTCTTCCAGAAACATTTTATATCACACTCGTTTAGTGTTTTACAATAGTCACGCCACGATTTTCGTCTATGAGTAAATAATTCTCTCTTTATCGTCTTAGTATATATTCTTAACTGGCTGATAAAAAAAGGATGTTTTGTTCTTCGAGCTAAACTTAAATAAAATTGTTTTTCTTTTATAAGATTTACGACATGAGGAGGAATAGATGGTCTATACGCATTGCAATAGGAAACAAAAGTTAAACGCGATAAAGCTAAGGACAAAAAACGTTCGTATAGCCAAAAGAATTTAACCTTATCTACCATTTTTGCCGACAAGTTATTCCAAAAACTCGAGGTAAAAGTGAGAAAAAGTTCAAACAACGACCAATACGTTCGTTTCACCGGATAAGATCTATCCTTCTTTAATAGTTCTATTTCTGAAGTCCATAAGACTGGAAAATGATCGCTACCTATAGCGGGAAGAACTGAGAAGGCAGACGAGAACATGGATGAAGGTACAAAAATAAGATCTATCGTTCCATTTGATCTAGTAGAAGTTGGAATATGTTTATTAATGACCTCAAAAGAGTTAACAGAAAGCCAATTTGCAAGCACACGACCTTTTTGGTTATCTATAGATTTAGACCAAGACGAGTGATTTGCATTTAAATCGCCAAGAAAAACAGTTTTAGAGCTGCGTTGTAAAACTTGGTTAAAAAGAAGTATTGGAAGGGTCTCACTTGGTGGAGAGTAACACGTTACTAATTGAAACTTATCAGAAGAGGATCCTATATCCAAAACAATAACATTTAGAAATTTATCAAAGTTTGAAACCCGTTGTACTGTAATAGAACGGTGAACTGCTATTAACACCCCGCCAAACGCATTTGTTCCTGTTTGAGAAAAAACATGATAATTGTGGAAATGTTTAGTAAACAGTTTTACAGTAACACCATCATGATGAGTACCGTTTAATACGATAATCGAGGTGTTGATAGAATACAACAGATTAAAGACATTAAAAAGATGTGCGTTTAAACTACTCACATTTAACAACATCATAGATACATTACTCTTAATGTTCATCATGTCTAGCGTCTGTTTTCTCCTTCTATCCCACTTATTTAACACCTCATTTAATGTGCCAGCTGAAGTCCATTCAAAAATAAGTTTTTGAAAAATTTTTACTTGATTCTTTGATAAATGATCCGCCTGAATTTCTAGTAGTTCATTCTGGAGTGGTTTAAATTCTTGGGCATCTGGATTCATATTTCTAATGAATTCATATTTTGATCACTTGATTGTTCACAGTATTGCTGTACATTCACCTGATCATTACCGTTACCAAGTTTAATGTCATTATTCCCCATATAATTCATTAGTTTGTTGTATAATGGAGTTAGTTTTTGTTTATTTTGACCTTTAACTTGACCATAAATGATATTCGAAATTTCTCTGATCAATGGACATACAATATCATTGATAAGAAGTTTTACGGCCACGATTTCATTCACTTGATTCTTAATCTTTGCATTTAACAACGTGAATTGTTCATAAAGATCTTTCTGATTTTGCATAATTGCCATCGTTGTATCGTTTATTTTTTCAATCGTGCACCTTTGTTCTTTCCCATAGTTGGTATTATCATTTGTCATTGAGGCATTACGAAAAGGTAATCGGCCTGGCGTATTCGCCCAGACACCCTGCTGTTTTGGTACTAATGGCATCTGTTTATCATTCGATGTTCTGTTTTGTTGTGTCTTCATTTGACGTCTTTCAATTTTTACTGGACAATTTGGATTTCCTGCCATATGCCCCCCTTGACAATGCGCACATCGAGTTTCGTTTTGACAATTGCGATCATAGACATGATTTTGTCCGCATTTAAAACATATGGGTTTTTCTTTATTTGGACAGTAGGCAGCTATGTGATCATCATATGCTTGACAAATATAACAACGTACAATATGAATTGGTGGCACGTAAGGTTCGATTTGGTACGACGTGTATTCATCATCCAATAATATACGTTTCATCTTAAGTATTTCCGCTAACTCTTTGTTGGATGAAAAGTCCACACGGACTTTCGAAATAGGTCGACCTCCTTTAATAAAGAGCCTTTCAGCTCTAACAATTGTTGAATACCTTTGTTTTAATTCTTCCCCGAAACCAGCAGCATTCCATTGAGCTGGAACATTTTTAACAACGATAGAAAAAGATGCAGGAATTTTTCTTGGTAATTCAACTGAATATTGATTGTTACAAATTTTATCCGGCCAATTTTCTATATTTAATAGAAAATCGAATTGTATCGCCGTGTCTGCATATAACAGATAACATTTTTCTTGATCTATTACAACAGGACGTCCGTAAGTTAAATTTATCTTACAGTTGCGATTTATATCTTTAATAATAACGACGTCATTTTGAGGAAATTTGTTTCCATCACTCAATTTAATGCGAAAAGGAGGAAAAGTCACTCTCTGTTGTTTATAATAAAGCGATGACTCATTTCCTTGCTTACGATATGTACGATTTGTGTTAAAATAGGACGAAGTAGCATATTGATTTGTATTTTCGCTTATCTTTTTCTGATGGGTGTCATTATTGTCATTACGATTTCGTTTTGGCGTAAAACTAGATGATTCATATCCATTTTGATCCTGTCTCTGTCGTTTCAATTTCTGTTTTTCTCTATGTGATAGCTGAGTCTGAAAATCATCATGATTGTCAGTAATGTCTTCCAGATTTATATTGTGGTACTCAGGGTTACCAACGTTTGGATTACTAATACAATTTGTAACTCTGTTATCCTTATCAATTTCTGTACCCATATAGTACAGTAAAAGTTAAAGAAGATAGAACAGGCACGTGTTTATATCAACTATAGTAAATACAACAAGAGGAAAAAAGAAAGAGAACACGACAATAAAATAACAATAAAATTTTAAATAGAAATGTGCTAATATCAGAACACATCATATTATCTTCTATAATACTACATATTTTCATTTAATTTATTCAACATTTTGATCTTCCAACTTCTTCGTTTAAACTTCTGATTTCATATTAATATAATCTCATTTCTGTGTGACAAAATAAGATAGGTGTATGACTTTCACACAGAGATTATATTTCAATTAAAATACATGCACACTAACAATACGTACGGTCATACAAATCTCTATTTAACAATTATATCTTATGAAAAGGTAAGATCGATTGACCTTGTTCATCTTTGATATCTTCATTCATTTAGATGTTCGGAGATAAAATGCAATTTTATATGATGATATAGTAAAATTATTAACAAAAGTCTTGTAGTTCAACAAGAACATAAGTTGAAAGCTGATAAACTCCTACAAATAAAGTTTTGAAGTGATTTCAGTTCAGATTCTGCCATTGTCAATAATTATAGTCTAAATTCGATTGTAAGAATGCGCTGTGTTGAAAATGAATTAGATAACTTCTTTTTTTTTTACAAATCTCGACAATATTTTATTCTCTGCACCAATCTTTATCAGTTAACAGTTTGTTAGTGTCAGTTAAGGGACACACTAAGTTTTTATCAAAAGTTTATGAAAATCATTTTCGACGATAAAAAGAAGCGAATTATTTCTATATTATTTTTACACATTTGATTGGAGAGTTATATACATTTGTAGTATGATAAAGAGAAAATAGGATTAATTCATTGTTTATTTTTCTTTAGAATTTTTTTTATGACTCTTTAAAGGCGCCATCATCTAGAAAAAATAAGTTCATATAAATAATAAATTTTGTTTTACCGACATCAACTTTATTGAAAAAGTTCTTCATATATAAAGAAAAGTACGCATTCAAAGTTAAAATAAAACTAAAAAATATATATTTTTTTCTATCTATCTTGTTCAATCGGACAATTATCTATCAGTTCTTATCGAACTCGATTGTTGAATAGAATTTTCTTAATGAATTTATATAAGGGATAAAAAAGCAAAGCGTATCTGGTCGACTATGAAATGATGTAGAAAAGAAGATTAATCTTTTTTATACTTCAACATTAAATTGAAAGAAAAATCTCAGATATATTCTCTTCTATTAGTTTTATTATTTAATTAATCATTTATCAAACATTTCTTTGTACAGATCTTCATTTCAAAATATAATAAGATATATTTTTTTGTCTGGTATTTAATCTTATGAAATTTGAAGGCGAAGTCGTTAATAGCAAGAAAAAAAGATATGTTCACATTGAAATATATAATTCTCACCTTATCTATGACACCTGAACAAGTAATGCAGCAGTAACATTGGTATGTTTCAGCTCATTGATGAGTCCATCAGTATAGTTGACAATAAATACTTTAGTAGTAGTACAAGCACTGATGGGTTTAAACTATTTTTCAAAAGTTGAAACATAAGAAAATTTCTAAAGAAGTTGATCCGGTTATAACTCGAGTTGATAATTATAACTATTTCAATCTCAGTTTAAGTGTAGAATAATATTGTAAGCCGCAGCATCGTGTGAACATTCATGCTGTCTAGTCAAGGATAAAATGAGCAATAATCGATCTTGTTCTATTAGTTTTCTTCTCTAAACTAGAAGTGAGTTGTCAATGTCGTATTCATCTAAATCAATATTTAATGAATTAAAAACAAAATTGACCAAATTTATTATTATATTCTCGTTTTTTTCTTCGTCAAACTCAATAAATCTTAAATAAAATCTGCGACTATTCTTGATCTTCTATCCTAACTCGTAACTCCTCAATACATACTGATAATCCATCTAGTTTATTTTGAATGACTTCCAGTCGTTGAAGATGAGTAGCTAGTTTGTCATACACGATATCGCAAATTTTGTTCGCATTAGGCACTTGATCACTAACCGAAAACCTTGAGAATATTAGCTG